GTAGTTACAGTACTTCATGTAGTTACAGTACCACAGTAATAGTACTTCATGTAGTTACAGTACCACAGTAATAGTACTTCATGTAGTTACAGTACTTCATGTAGTTACAGTACCACAGTAATAGTACTTCATGTAGTTACAGTACCACAGTACCAGTAGAAATAGTGCAAGTGGTTAGAGTAACAGTATTTGCTTGTGTAGTGAAGTGTACTGGAGCAGAAGTACTTCAGTAATGATCTTAGTCACTTTTGACAGAACAACAAGAAAACCTGCAGCCAATCAGGAAGAAGCTGAGTGAGGCGGACTCACCGATATGAAATGATCTCTTTCAGGTGATTGGTCAGCAGCTTCCCTCCCACATTGATCCTGGGAGACAAAATCAACCAATAGGCCGTCAGCATTATGTCGTCATCCTCAGTGTTAACGCTGCTGCAGGTTAACGCTGCTGCTGCAGGTTAACGCTGCTGCTGCTGCAGGTTAATGCTGCTGCTGCAGGTTAATGCTGCTGCTGCAGGTTAATGCTGCTGCTGCCTCTCACCTGCGGACACCCTCCTTCATTTTCTTGCTGCGGCAGTAGGGGATGATGTGTGTGAAGGAGAATCCACTGTCGACCAGCAGACAGCAGAGCTCTGAGGGTTTGGTGTGGAAGTAGTGATGAGCGCTGAGAGAGCCGGCTGCAGTAACACACAGAGACAAATACAGCTTCTATTGCCCAACAGAAGAAGAAACAACGAGAATGACTTTGCTGCGTTTGAATGAATCCTAAAACGAGATCGAATCAGTTCATCTCTCAACACCTGGTCAGTGTGTCCTCTAGATTTGTATTCAAACAAGAAGGTGAACAAGTTTCAATCACAGCTAAAAATCCACCAAACTTCTTATTTCATCAGATTTAAACCACTGACGGATGAATGTTGAGTTCCCGTCTGACTCATCAGACACCGATGATGATGATTCACTCACCGTTTGTCCTGAGAGCCGACTGGAACTGATACTCCTCGAACAGGATCTCGTTCATCGACTCCTGAATGGAGGTGAAGTTGAAGTACGGCTCCGTGATGACGATGCTGGTGTCTGCAAAATCCACCTGGATCCAAACATGAGCAGAGGAGAGAGGGATGAGGTCAGACTGAAGATACTTCCTACATTTCCAGGAAAAGAGAAGAAAACTTGTTGGTGAAGTAAAGACAAAAAAACACCTTGAACATCTCTTTTCCAAACAGATGATCCCACACTTTCCTCTGGACATCCCAGTTGACCAGATAACCCTGGAAACAAAGAGCAGAAAGATGTTAAGAACCAGCAGCTCGTGTAGTGAAGCTGCAGCTTCCACGTGGGACTCACCTTCTGGAAGGGAAGGATGTAGAAGAGACCTGAAGGATCTTTGATCTCATCCAGCTGATTGGCCGTGAAGGTTTTCAACCTGGACGTCTTGGAGCGGAACTGACAGTTGGAGATGACGCTGAGGGAGAAAAGTCAAACAAAGTCACGCTGAGGAAACTTTATGATCAAGCAGCTGGAAACTAAAGAGCTGATGCAGCTTCTCTAGTGGACAGAGTTAGAGCTTGTGTGAGCTGTTTCTTCTTGTTACACACAAACACAAGTCAGCATTCATTGTGGTTTCTAATCAAAATAAGAACTAAAGAAAGACTAACACACGTCAACATGTTCACTTCACACTTCTGCAGTACGATGGATGATGTTTCCACACGTGATATGAACCATCAGACTCTGATTCCTCACTCGTTAAACAGGATTCTCAGACTGCTAGTGTTAGCACAACACTTCCTGTGTGACTGTGTGTGTGTGTA